GGTTGGTTAGATAAAATCAATTGTGAGGACTGGAAATCAATCACCTTAAATTTTGAAACTGTCCCACCACAGAATGTAGCCTGACAGCAGGATCCTCCCAAGGAACAGAGATGCAGGAGGTGCTGGTACAGGGACACTTGCATCAGGAGGTTTATAACCTACAGGTCTACACTATTCTGAGAGTAATAAAAGATTCCCAACCTCCTGCTTCTGATAAAATCAGGGGGAAAGACCCATTTGTACTCTAGAAAGCTCCTGTGCTGCCTCTCCTTCCTGTCCTTTCCTACAGTAGATGAGTCACTGTCTAGAACCTTTAGCAAAACACCTCTTATTGTTTATCAGGTCCCTGCTACTCCCTGCCCCACAGCACAGTGCAGTAAGTGTCAGGCAATGCTCCAGGTCACTATCCCCTTCCTGTGGAATGACGAGGAACCCAAAGCTGAAGCTCCTCTGCCCAGCATCCGCGCTTCTGAGCTGCTTCTGCCCAAGAGCATCCCCCTGCGCATCTCTTCCCTTCTGGGGCCAGCGGCTGTGCTTTGCAGAGGGACTGCACGTGCTCCCACAAGAGCAAACAGCACAGCCTCACGCAGAAAATGCAAAGTGATGGTTTTTAACTCAACGCTCTGCAAATATTCTTCTACACCAAATACCACACACTCAGGCCGCTTCAGCATCACGGGAGGTTAAAAGGAGTGTGTGGCTGTACCAAGGACAGTCACCCGAGCACGATTAGCGTCAGGAACTAGGGGAGCACTGCCCAAGTCCGGTGTCACTAACTTGAGGTATACGAACCGCTAGCAATCCTGGCAGCTCAGGGGTCAGTTGCCAGAGACCCTTCCCACAGCCCGAACCAGGTGTAATTTCGCTCGCGCCGTGTCAGGGACAGCTCTGGCTGGGCTCCGAGCTCCGGACGCCCCCAGTGCAACACGTGGGGCCAGGCAGCCCCACGGCGCGCACGGCCCGATCCCCTCCGCCGGCCGAGCGGCCGCTGCAGCGCCCAGCGCTGTCCCCAGGGACGGCGGCCCCAGCGGCCTCCCTGCAACCGCGCTTCTGCTCTCCAAGCCCTGCTGGCTTAGGAAGTTCTCCGAACTTCCCAAGCAACGCAGAGAACAGGCTTGTTTTCCTGCACCTACAGACATCCACGCTCGTACTGCAACAGCACCGGGTGCTCCCGATCCCCGCCGGGCCATGGGGCCGCCGGTGCAGCGCTCATCCCGGCAGAGCACCCCGAGCTGCACCACGCACCAGCCCCGGGGTCCTGCCCCGGAGTCCTGCACCCAGAGGCCCGGCTGCTGCCGCCCGCCGCCTCACAGGTGGATGCAGCATTCCCTAAAAACTCCGCCGGGAAAACACCCCGGGGCTTGGCGCGGGTCTGGACCGCTCGCAGGGCGTCCGCCGGTCACCGCCGACCACCGCCGTGGGTGCGGGGCGGCACGGGGGCAGAGCCGCCCGCTCCCTGACGGGTCGAACCCGCATCCCGGCTCCATCCGCAACAGCGCGGGCATCGCCAGAACCGCCCCGGCAGTCAGTCCCAGCGGGTACCGGACCGCCTCCCAGCGCCCGCACCGGCACCGCTATTAACAGAGTCCAGTTCTTCCGCAAACTTTCCTGCAACTCCCATCAACAGATCCCCGCAGCCACCCCCGCGCGAGCCGGCGGGTCGGTGCCCGGTACCTTCGGGTCCGGCCGGTGCCTCCGGGGGCGATGGCCAGCGACTCCAGGGCCGATGCCTCGGGCGCGGCGGGGCCGCTCCAGCCGGGGCCGGCGCCGCTGCCCCGGGGTCCGGGGCCGCCGCAGCCGCAGCTCCAGCTGCCGCCGCTCCGCCGAGCCCAGGCCGAGTGCGGCGGGGGGCGGCGGGCGGGGCCGGGCCGGGGCCGCGGCTCCTCCCCGGCAGCGCCATTGGCTCCGCCGCGCTCCGCAGGGCCGCCCGGCCCCGGCCCCGGCCCCGGCCCCGCGGCTCGGGGCGCGGCGGAGCCGTCCGCGCTGGCCGCCAGCCGGGGGATGGGTCTGGCACAGGCAGAGAGCGACAGAAGCGAGGAAACGTCTTTGAACGGAAAGAAGGGAGATTTGAATCAGAGGTGTGAAGCGATTCCTCCCTATGAGGATGGGGAGGCCCTTGGCACAGGTTGCCCAGAGAACCTGTGGCTGGCCCTGGATCCCTGGAGGTGTTAAAGCATAGCCTAGCTGGGACTTAGAACAATCTGCTCTAGCGGAAGGTGTCCCTGCCCATGTCATGGGTTTGGAACTGGATGATCTCTGCTGTCCCTTCCAACTCGAGTTGTTCTGTGAGTCGGTAGTTTTCCCCACTGTGAAAATAGAAGGATGTGCTTGTCTGATTTGCAGGGCCTGTAAAGGGTATCACAGTCACAAGGGAGAGCATACTTCCAGACTCTTACTTCTGCAGATGACACATTCATTTTAATACCTTAGATTTATGGAGCGAGCATACCTGGCACTGCAGGCGCCCACCACACACTGCACGCAGGGACAGTGGGAGGCAAGCTCCTGCACGGGCAGGAACGGCTTCCTCAACGCAGCAGCTGGAGGAGAGCAAATGCCAACGGGAACGGGATGGGTTGTTTCCAGTCAAAGGTTGGTCACAGCCCCAGGGGAGGCAGCAGGCACTGAGCAAGTGCCCCAGGCCAGGGTCAGAGCAGAGGAACAAGGCACAGACCAGAGCAAGGCAATAAACAGGGCCAGGAGAAATCGACGGATCGCAGACACCTGCAAACTATATGATGGGGAAACTATCCCTAATACAGCATGAGACACACATGCCTGGGAGTCTGTGATGCAAAGTTAGGCTCAAACCAAGCTCTCTCCCACTCTAAAATCCAGTAATGCCTGAATCTGGAAAGAAGATGGATTTCCCTTATCTTTGTGCATGCTATCCCCAGGCAAAGCCACTTCAGGATGCAGACTGACAGTCCTAGAAGCCCGGGCTGTAGGTGAGCACAGCCCATGCACTATTCCTCTGCCTACGCACACCTGCAGTGGCAATGCCATCTTGCTGCCCTCCTTTCTGCCTACAGCGGAGAGGAGGGTGAGGACTAGTTGGTATCAGGGAGGCTTTCTGTCCCAGCTCTGCTGAATTGGCCGGTGCCTCATTTGGCAGCACATGAGGTAAGAAGAGGGGATGTGATGGAGCAGAGAGACATTGTACCCAAAAGCCCATCCTTCCAGGTGTAAGGCTGTGCAAACAGCCAGGACAAAGGCAGTTAATCTGGCTCTGCTCCACCTCCTTCAGTCCCCATAATATTCCTCAGCAGGGATGAGGTTGTTTGGTCTCCACAGGGGAGGGGAGATGGCTTAAAGGCTTTGCAGCTCAAGGCAGTTGGTGGTCACACCTAGAGGAGCTGTGGCATACTTGCGTTGCATGTCAAGATATGGAAGGGCTCCTTTGTGCCTTCACTTCCAAAGCTAGGTGAAACTAAGCTTGCATCATTCCCCTCCTGAACATTTGGCTAATCTGGGCAGTTACATGCCTCTCCCTTTTCTCACCCAACTGCTCTGCTGTCCAGGTGTCAGCTTTGCCAGGGTCTGACAAAAATGCTGCACCTTCAGCAATCTGTGTTTCTGGGAAGCAGATGTGGCACACATCAGAGCCATAGTAGAATAGGCCTGGGGCCTGTGAGAGCTCTGCAGTCACCCACAGCCCAGCCAGAGCTGAGGGGCACTAACGGGGTGTTGTCAGGACCCCCAAGAGCTGAGTCTGTGTAGTTTAATTTGTTTCTAATTAATATACTTTGCAGACAGTCTCAAGGATTCTGTGTGTGCAATGCAGCAGGCTGAGCCATCCCACTGTCCTTTTGCTACCAGATACCTGGGGCCTCACCTCAGTGGTGAAATAGACTTTAAATCACCCTCTATTACACAAACATTAGAAAGAAAAGACTTCACCAGCAGATTTTCCATTTCCAGCTTAATCTGCTTGACAGCAGTTTTGCAAACTGTCTGAGCTTCATGATCCTGCTTGGCTCTTTGGCTGTAAAAAAATAAGTGTTAAGGAGCATTTAAGCCATGCAACTAAACCTCCAAAATTGATACAAACTCTTTAGCGATGCCACCTGAAGTCTCAGATATTTCAGTGCTAAAAAGGGCACATCAGACAATATTTGCAATGATGCAGCTACCATTCAGGGAAGAGCTGGTTCTTAAATACTTTCCTCACATTTTGGGGGGGGGAATTGTGTAATTCCCAGGAGCATCCCATGCTCACTAGCAAAAAATGGCAGCATAGGCACAAGAAATGTGGGAAATAATGTTGAAAACTCAGCTTTTGCTCAATCCCAGAGCCCTGCAGGGCTCAGGAATATATTTCCTGGCCCTGAGCTGGGCTAACTTTGGAACACAAAACACATCAAAACAAGGAGCTGTAAAGCAGCAGCTGTGATTGATTAATCACAGTAGTGAAGCTGAAGGGTTTGATCATTTCCATAAGCTCTTTAAAATCTTGTTCTTCAAAGAAGGAGAGGTTACTACAGACATGGAACAAAGCAGATCACAAACTGGAGCTGATTCCTTCCTGGAAAGGCTCTGGACCTGCTGTGTGCCCAGCTCCTGTGTACATTCACAGCTCAGTGCCTGCACATCAGAGCCCACCAAAGGACACTGCAAAACCTGCCCAAGCACATCAGCACCAGGACAGGGAGCAGGTCACCTTGTCTGACAGAAAGGGATTGCTGCAAGCAGCTGCACCTTGCACTTTAAAAATCTACTTTCTATCTCATTCCAGTAAAACAACTGACATGTGGGGGGGGCCACATACTCCAGGAGACATTGTTCTAGGCCTTCCCCTAGAACAATCCGATGTCAGCCTGTGGATTCAGAGTGAATTCTGAGGAGAGGAGAAATTATCCTTCACCGTGTGATGCAGCAACATCTGGTGTTCCTGACGGCATTTTTATTTCCCTTCCTCCCTTGTGCTCTCCAGGTTCCATTTCCTGCACTCTCAGGCATGGGAAAATGAAGAGGAGAGGAAATCATAGGCAAGGGCACAGTTACTTGCCCACTGTTTATCAGAGAGACATCCTTGTAGCAAACCCTGCCTGAACTGGTACCTTATTTCTACTGCAACATGGGACAAACAGAGCAGCTACTGGTGCAAGTGGTTGTGGGCAGATAAAAGCTACCTCCAGGTCTGTGCCACTCCTTTCCCAAATCCAGTTCCTGTTTCCATTAACAGCAGGATGGCAGATAGATGCAGAGCACAAAGCAGCACCGGTGCTGGGCACAGCAGCTCCTGGGTTTATCTGGAAGAAGGAGACAGAGGCTTGAGAAAACATCACATCAGAGTTCTCAAAACCCGTGGCTGAGCACATGTGGGGCTACCCAGGTGTGATCCAGCAAGGAGCCCACCACCCCTGAGCCCAGGGACTGCTGGCAGCAGTCCTCATTTGGCCTGGGCAGTCCCTGTTCCTCTGCGACAGCCGCCTCGCAGATCCTCTCCTGTGGAACGATGCACTTTGCACTTCTCCTTTCCTGATGTTCAGCGCTGAAATCAGAGCAGGCAGCAGCAGGTTCTTTGCAAAACAAAGTTTTCTGAGCATCTTTGAAACCTGTGCCTCTTCACCGAGGTTTGTGGCTCCTGCTGCTTGGAACAACCTGAAGGAGGGGCTGACCCTGGCTCCATCGCATTGCTAAATATACACGCAGGATGTCTCTAGATAAGTTACTTTGATTTCTTCAGCTCATCCCCAACTGCAGTTTTTAATCCTCGGGATAACAAAAGGCTGATCCGCAGACACCTCCCAGGATCTCAGGCTCTGGCAAAGCAACGCTAGCTGTTGCTAGAATTGCAGCACCCAGGGAGTTTGAACAAAGAGCCTCAGGCAGTCCCAGCCTGAAACACTGGGAACAATGCCATCATTCCCAGAGAGGGGAAGATGTTTGGAAATGCAATTTCCGAGGTCACCTTTTATGATCCAGGCACACCACAGAGCCTGAGTGCTCCTTCTGACAGCCAAAGCCAGCGCTGGGACTCCCCGCAATGCCAGAACAGCGGGTGCCACATTTCCAACAGGTCCTCTCCCCCTCCCCGTGTCCCACCGAGGGGAGCAGCTGCCCACCAGGCCTCTCTCAGAGGGATTTCAGTCTCACTCCCGAGGAGAGCAAGGCTTGGTCCACTAATCTCAGAGGCTAAAATAATTTTATGCTTTCTTTGAGAAACTGTTCCAGCAAAGCCTGGAAGATGCAGCGAGCCCAGACAGAAACATATTTCCCTTGTGGTTATGCTGCTGCCTGCCTGCCAGCACACAGACAGGCTATTTGTGCCTCACTAGGCAGAACCCAGTGAAGTGTTTAACTTGACAACGGGAGCGTTTCTCTGAACGATGCCACCTCAGCTGACCCCAACACAGCTCCGCAGGCTCCTTGCGCACTGTCCAGCATCCAGCAGCTCTCCACTGCAGCCTCTTTGGCCGCTTCAGAAAGTTCCAAGATCCTCCCACCCCTCACCAAGGCAGGCACCGAGGTGAAGCCCAGGCACGGGGAGATGACTGAACCCCTCAAGTGGAAATACTGACTCCTGTACAGGAAAAACATGGACTTTGGCCCAAGCTGAGCTGTGTCTTGGCAGTAAATAGCAGCTTCACTCGCCTGTGACTCACTGAGCATTGCCCATGCCCCAGTTTCTCCTCCGGCTCAGAGACCCGGGGACCAACCTCTGCCCATGCTGCCAGCATCAGTCTGGAGGCAGACAGCAGCACCACACCACATGAACAGGTACAGCTGCTGCTGGAGTCCCCAGGTGGGAAGAGAATTGAGTAAAGGGCTCTTACCAGCCAATGCATCTCAAAACCTCTCTGATGGCTGAGTCCAGGTGTGAGGAGCAGGACGGAGATGGGATGCGGGTGCATTCTGCCAGCCCTGAGCAGCAGTGCAGACATGAAGCTGTGCTCCCTGTTTGCTCTACCTGCCCTCTGCTGCTGCAGTGCTGCCAGCACAGGAAATGTCTGAGCGTCGGGCAGTCAGCCCGGTGGCTGCCAGTGGTTCACCAGGACAGCCCACAGCACTGGAAAATGCAGACCTGCTGGGAGGACAGGGCTCCCCCCAGGATCCTCAAGCCTTGATGGTGACAGCCTGCAGGGGGTGTCAAAAGGGATTCCCCATAGCTAGCCCAGAGGAATGATATCTCAGGCAGACGAGATCGTTTGCACTGTCTCCATAGATGACTTCAGAAAGGGAAGTTCCCTCCTGGAAGCAAATCACTACCTTCTTCATTTGGGCCCCACAGCACACATGGCATCAGAAGCAACTGCTATACCCACCCTAGCCTCATGTGCAGGGCTTTCTACCTTGCTATAAATAGTTTCTAGCACTGCTGAGCAAGGATTAATGACTTTTCTAATTATACCACCATTAGATGGTGACAGGGGAATGATACTGTGCAGATGTCTGAGCCCACTCACCCAGCATGGCTGGATTACTCTGTGCAGAACATACCTGTATGTCACCTCATAATTTCAGAGAATATCAAGTCACAAGTGCAGGAAAAAAAATATTTAAAAAAGGGTCTTTCTCAATATTAAATAAGAGATGTCTGAAAACCATAAGTGCTCCAAATTCCTAAAAGGAATCCCACCAGGTTGGGTGGCATCTCACAGAGCTGCAATTTCCATGTAAACATTACCTGGGATTTGCAGTCTCTCACAGCACCACTCTGGAGTGTACTGACCTGCTTCATATTGGCTTCCCGATTGACCCTTGCTTTTAAATTGGATTGCCTTATTTACCAGGCAACTGCTTGCTTTGTCCGACTGAAAAGGGGCATTTTTCACATGGGCTGCCCTGCCAGGATGCCTGCACTATCACGCTGTCAGACATCATTCAGCCACTTGTGGCAGTCCTGCAGACCCAAGCTGGAAACCAGCTGTCCTTTGTCCAAACAGCTCTTTTCCATATGACTTGCTAATAATGCACTCAAGAATTTCTGTAGAAGGGCTCTTACTTCAGAAAATGCTAATGACAGGAAAACACCTCTTGCAACACCTCATGGAGGTACCTTCTGTGGTTTCAGTTTTACCATTTATGACAGCATGAACAAGGTGCAGTTTTGGAGAGGAGTACAGTATTTCAGTGGAAAATAACTTTCTTTTTCTGAACAGTGGATGGATATGGCAATAAGCGTTTTCTCCTGAGGCTATGGCAGGTGCATCATTTGCCTGGGAAAATTACTGGAAAACTTAACAGCCAAGGAACACTTAGCTCAGCAATGCAGCACTGCGGGTTCCATCTGCAGGACCCCAACAATGAGGCAGCTCCTCTCTGTTGCCCAAGGCTCCAAGATCTGATTTTCCCTCCACTCCAGTACAGAGGCTGAGCCCCTCTCAGCAGACTCTGCTGGGTTTCTGACAGAGATGTTCTTTGCAAGAGCCATCAGAAGGCAAAGGATCGAGCAGGTTCTTTTGCCCAGTCATTTGAAACAAAGTCACTCCTTGCAGCAGACGTCTGCCTGTGTGGGGTCCCATCCATGACAATAACAATTCTATTCGTTTCATAAGCCAATCCCTGTGTTCTGCAGAGCAGGTGAAAGGAACTGTCGTGACTCTCTGCCATGGTCACAGGCAGCAGTCCCTGAGGTGCCTGTGCCCGGCTCCTGCAGGGATTGCCCCCAGCACCCCCAGGGTGACCCAGCACCCCAGGGTGACACCGGGACAGTGTGACACTGGCGCTGTTCTGCCCTGGAACCGAGCAGGTGCAGGGAGCCATCCCTGCCTGCCCTGCCCCTCTCCCGGGAAGCACAGCCCTGGCCCCCATCGCCATATGGCAGCTCCTGTCCTCTAGCTCCAGAGCGTCGCTGCCTTTCGTTCCACCGCCAGCTTTGTCAGAGTGCCCCAGAAACCACTGCCGCTATTTTTAGAGGGTTAACAAATACCTCTAGGAAAAAATAATCCACTGGCACGTGACTCCCTTTCAGTCCAAAATTCAACAAACGGCCACAGCATCAGTACAGTAGCTGTAAAGATGAAACGAGACTGGTGAACTCTGTCTACCCTCACCCACCTGCCCACAGTGAAGGAACATGAGAAAACAGCCAACCTTGTCTTTGGTTGCCAAGGTTTCTCATTTTTATGTATAGTTACGTATATTTATAGTGCCCCTTGCTATCAAAAATGAGCAAAGGGAACAGCAGATAAGACAGCCTAGCAGGATTGTTTCTCAACCGAATGTTTTTCACTTTTCCATGAGGTGTCAGCAGCTCTTTAAAGTCTTTTTATTGCATTCTGCATTAGATGCAAAACCATATTTCAAAGACACTTTAACTTTGAAAGAGAAAAATGCAGATTCTGTACTGTGCCACCTGCAAACATGGAGGCATGACCCACATTAGAGAAACTTGGGAGGGAAGAAGGCAGAGAAGGAGAGAGGGAGGGAGCTCTGTGCATAAGACTAGGCCATTTAAAATACTTCAAAAATAAAAACTCATGGGGAAATCACTGCCTTTCTAATTATAGCTTTTAGGGGAGCTACTCACCCTCTCAATAGTGGGGCTGGGGATGCCTCAGGCACGCCACATTCTGCATTTAAATCCATGTAGCAAAAATTAACCAGCTTGGATTTTGTGTTAAATAAAATCAACAAAGCTTGCGTTATGTTTTGTTCTTTCTTAATTAGTTAGACCACAAATTACAATCAAAAGTCTTCTCATCTCCACTCCATCCAGCACAGAGACTGTTATCATTTCCTGAATTTTCTGGGAATTTGACTTTCACTTTTTTAAAGCATGAAATGCTTTAACAGCCACAAGCCATTAGTGAAAGAAATAAAGCAGCAGCTCCTATGTCCAGATTAGTTATGCCACAGAGAGGCACCAACCTCATTAGGCCAGACTGGGAACTCTGACAGCTCTGCTCAATCCCAGAAATCCTAGAAAAAGGGCAGGTGGAGAATTCAGCAGCGTTTTCTGACTGGCACGAATTGTATTACCTGTTATTACCTGGGCAGAGAAGAAGCAAAGCATTGCTGGTCTTTAGGCTTATTCTTTAAAAAACACAGCCTTTAGGGCAAATGGATCTTGCCAGGATTCATTCCTGGCAATTAAAAATAATGCAATATATCATACAGATATTGTATATGTATACAGACAATATCTAAATGCACTATAAATAACAAACCAAATAAGGTTCGGCAGGGAGCTGAGGTGGGTAGGTGAGGAGCGGCCCCGCGCCCGGGCCGCCGCTCCGAGCCCCGCGCCGCCGCTCCCGGGGCAAAGGCGCCGCCGCTCCCGGGACGGACGCGCCGCCGCTCCCGGGACGGACGCGCCGCCGCTCCCGGGACGGACGC